TTTACGCTTGGCGACAAAATATAATCAGATTTGTTATCCTGGTATCGCCGAATCGTCGTATACCGTAAAAACTCGAATAATTGGACCATGTGCCGGACGGTTAAATTAAGGTATGTATTGCCAAGGGATCCACATGAAAATCACACATATCAGTCTCACTAACTCTTGGCATTTACTCATAGCAAAAGTCTGCCTCCTCATCAGCCACCACAGTGATGAGAGTTTCCTCATCACCTGAACTATTTACATTATCTTCTAAGCCATCAATACCCCCCCTCTCCCAATCCTTTAATTGCCCAACTAGGAGGTCAGTGGCTAACCCTTTAATAGATATCTCCTGGTCCTCACTTCCATCGATTGGAAGTGAGAGACCTACAATGCGAAAAGAGCGACGGACAACTTCTGCTCTTTCGCTTGAGAAGCAGGACCACGCCTCTCCTACAACCCATGTCAGGGCAATATGGCGACGGCCAATCATGCTTCCAGTAAGCCTCCCCCCCTCCTCCAATACTTGCTCCTCCTCACCTTCTATAATCCCCAGCCACTCATCCATTGTATCCTAAAATAGGATAAATTTTTAGATAAGTAACCCCTCTCTTCTATTATGGGATTTGGCTAACCTTTAATATGTCCTTAAAGGGACGGTTTATAGATACATCAAGGGGCTGTACTAATCCAGTACAGCTGTTAGGAATACTAGAACCTGATACCTAGGAACCACCCTAAGTAGGGTAACCCCACTTGGAATCGGAATCTCTGGTCTCCAACACTCCCCTCCGGCTCCCTTACGGGGCCCGCGCGTCATCACATATATTAATCTCAGTTGCGTCCTGTGACTACATTACCACAGAATTGAAGGTGTTAGAATAATACCATATACGTCGCCGCCGTCTGTCTGACCGGATCCTGTTCGCAGGATATATGAGAGGGGACCTTTGGGTAGGCCTGGAAAGTGGAATGGAGTAATTCCGTCAACTACTCAGAGAGTTACTAGGCTTCAAAGGTATGAGACCTTTGGCATGGGCCGTAAGTAATGGAACGATTTCGCATAATGAGATGGTATCAAATAGTAAAGGATCTCTACTAGAGACCAATACAATTGCATACACCAGAAGAGTCTAGAACTCCAAAAGACACTACCAAAGAAGCCAACAAACTTCATGGAGTGTTGCAACTGGGTTTCGGAACACGTGTAGTCATGGGATGATTCTTAAATACTACAATTGTTACTGAAACCTACTACCCAGAGAGCAACCAAAGGTTGCCAACCGAGGGATTAATTACCAGTCTAGTGGAGTGGCTTCCTGCGAGTGAATAGGAAGTCATCCAAAGAAAATCTATCAGTTGAGTATGGAGTTACAAAGGATTGGAATCAAATGACCTACGATAGTTGTAATGACAACCACCTTTGCAGATATAGTCGTGGATAAGACTGATCATTTTATCAATGGCGAAGACTATTGGAGCCAACTCAGTTCAACTTAAGAACTAGGCTATAAGTCTAAAGACTCTGCTAATCGGGATATTACTATTGGGGACAGTACGTTTCCTAAGAAGAAATATCGTAATTACCGAAGAGGGTGTGATGGTTTTCAGGGTCCACAGGTGTTCGCACCTTGGAAGAAAACTCGACATTGTAAATTAACGATTAAAGAAGTACATAGTTGTATGATAAATAGATGTAGTCCGCGAACACTCAGACGTGGAATATAAATATCGAAGTGCCTCCCAAGCTTTAGACATTATCAAGCAACGGAGAAGAGACCTTAACAATATAATATTGTTTTTACGATTCTACCCTACTTTACATACTTTACTTCACTCCTAGTAGTCATAAACGAAACGAGCCAAGTCCGAGCCTTCCTAGACAATCTCCATCTACAAAAACGAGTCTCGATTGGCCTAGACAATCTTGAAGTCTATCAAGTTGTCTCCGCCTAACAACAGCCCTCCTGGTATTACACTCGGTATAATATCGTATACTTGGAAGGTATCAAGTACTTCCTCTGTCTTATGACTAGACAAAAGGTCAATTGCTAGAAGGGTAGGCTGACCATCAAGCACAGGCACAAGTTGCTCGTCCAGCCACTCGAGCATTTTGCTCGAGTTGGCATAGGCGGTTATGTTAAATTTGACGATAACGCGATTGTCATATTGCTCTCTCTCTGCCCGGATAGTGGGCCCACTACCCTGGCCTCAGAAGAAAAGCAGCGGCTTTACCCGTGGGATACCATCCGCAAAAATGGTGAGTTGTATTGTACCTTGCCTTTTGTCCCACCCCAAACGGCTGGATTGCAACCAGATAGTCTTCTCGCCAATCTGATTGTAAGTTTTACCTTCTAGGTACTCGAAAGGGACAGGAGTTTGGTCCATATTACAGATGTTTTGTAATCTATATCGACCTACTTGAGGCAAGATAGGTTCTCCTGCTACTATTTGGATATCCTGTGGTCGGAGTTGGGAGTTATGGCGATTGTATTGTAGCCAGCTAACTATTGCACTAGCAAAATCAGTCGGGAGTTGACTGGCTTTGTTCGTAATATGTTGGAGGCTAATCTGATGTAACGTGTTCGCAAGGTGCTAATCACGTTATTGGTAATAGATACAATAGTTGGCAGGTGGCCTGCTCTTCCGGAGAGGAGGTGAGAGCTGAGAACTAAAGGAGGCTTCAAGGGTGTACTGAGGAACAAAGAACTAACTGTTCAACCAAGTATATTGAAATACTGCCTGTCGAAGTCTGCCCCTTCTATTGTAGAAACAGGTGGTCTTTAAATACACAAATCTGTTCATGTCTGTCATGAATGAAACTAATCAAAGATATCAATCGATACACTTTGGTAAAACTTCTTAAGTATCAAAGCGATACTTAAAACAAAACATAAAACAAAACCAAGTATCAAATGATACTTAAAACAAACCAAGTATCAAAGTGATACTTAAAACAAAACATAAAACAAAACCAAGTATCAAACGATACTTAAAACAAAACATAAAACAAAACCAATAACCGAGTATCTGTACCAGTTACATCTGATGCCCGGATAAATATTCTCAAAACCAGCCATTGGAGAAAGTAAATCTCTGGGAAGTATCTGCCGTTGTAGGATAGTGTTTTTGGAAAAGCTCCCTGCTAACTCTCCAGAACCAGTTTCTTCGAACAGGACGCCCTAATGCCCACCTCTCCCTGAACTTGTCACTAAGTTCTCACTCCATTTCTGGCCACTGACGTGATCTTCCACCACCCCTCATCCGCAACTGGTCTCCCTTCATTTCCGTGAACTTCCCCTCCTTCTCCTCTTTTTTCTAGCATGAAAGGTTCGTAGCTGGAATCCGAAACCTTCTTGCTACCTCGTTACGGCCCACTTCCCATTCTCTTGTTGGCCCATAACTTATTCTGGCTCCAATCCAATACAAGAGAACATGAAGTTTAAAGCTGACTGTATAGGATCGATATGGGTTTTCTGCCTTCCTTGGTTTGCTTCGCATAATCTCACCAAGAGGCTTTCGTTTTGGTCCCCCTTTTTTTTTTTATTCCAGCATAAAATTGATCTGCTGGTAGAGGTGGAATATTTGTTTGAACCCGTGCACGACTACAAGGTTGGGATGGCATAGTGGTTTCCTTTTTTCAAAGTAAAAGAATAGTAGAAAGGACGGTCTGCTATCACAAGTATTGAGATTCTGTAAATATTTGATTTCTTATTTACATTTTATAAAAAGATGGCATCACGTGAGGTTGAGAAATACGTCGCGTGTGGTCTAGTGTTTCTGATTTTTTAAAGTTCAAGACACTAATTTCCGCTTGAACGGGTTTTACACCTTATTTGGACTACCTAGCACATGGTCCAATTATTCGAGTTTTTACGGTATGACAAGACAAATGAAACCGGCCCCACCTGAGTTCCCGTACAAAATAAATAAGTCTAGCTGACCACCACAAAGGTGCACAACCAATTTTCTTCGGAAACTAATCGGGTGGAAGTGGATTACAGAGAATTTGACATGCAGGATGATAGTTATTATTATTATTATCTTGCTCCGCTGAGCGCTGGCGGTGAGCAAATGAGGTTAGTCAGCATGTGGGAACCCCATACTTATGAGTACTGTACTGTACAGTACAAATCTCCCTTTCTTGGTGCTGTTTTCACGCTCGCCCTCTAGGACTCTGGCGCTCGGAATTATTAGAATGGCTTCTGTAACCGGGCTTTCAATCCCGCGATTCTCCGTGTCAAATTTTTTCTATCCAAAAATTTACTAGATTTTTCTGAGGTTAATGGTGGTGAACAGGGGCCTTCTGAGAATGGGCATTTCGCGCAGGAAACTCAGGGGGAGCCTGTTCTTGCCGCCAAGCTAGTAGGGACATCGAGTGATATCTTGTGGATATGATTTGGCGGTGGGAAAACAATCAAGTGCACTCCTAAAAGGTGGGGGAGGGGGGAGCGAAAACTTGAGTTATCATACTGCGCCTAAAATACCGTCACAACCGGGTATGATTACTTATAACGGGCAAAATATCATACCCGAAAACGGGGTTTGCAAAATATGTGGAAGAAAAAAACCCTGGCCTATCTGAGCGCCCGCAGAATACCGCGAGAATTCGAATAAACAGACCTTGTACTAGGGCGTTGAAGTTGCCTCTCTTAGTGAGGTCTGGAGCTTTCCTTCTATTTTGCTTGTCTCTGGGACAGGTTTTTGGTGATAAATTTACCTCGCGTTTTGACTGGTCACGGGTGTTTCTTTGGGGTGGAGGTTTGCGAGGTGGCATTTGGGCCATGTTAGTGATTATTTTATTGGTGTTGGTTTTACCATGTTCTAACCGGCCCCTCAGCTTGTCACGGGGTGCGCGGGTGGTACTTTCCAGGGGTGGTGGATCTTCTTAGGGGTTCTTGGCTGGGGGGAGTATCGTATCTCATGCTGTATACCGCACGGCGATACCTACAGTTAGGTGGTGGGTTTGTAGAATGAAAATAAGGTTTAACCGAGCAAATGGTCCGCCATCCTGATTCTTAGGGTAATATTTAGGCTAAGCTAATTCGAGTAGATTGAGCAAACACAATCTTTCACTCGGCAAAGAAGAAAAAAACGCAGACAACACCTAACATCAAACAAGCAAGAGGCAACCGCATTACCACGAACTTTGGAAACAAAATATCATACTCGCACAGGCTAAGAACTTAACCGGTGAAAGTATCATGCACGACCAACATGACCAACCTAACCCATTTTATAAACAAAGTCATAACAGCATAATAAAAGGAGATTCCGCTAGTACGATCCATCTAGCTCCTGCGGGGGCGGTCCTCGATTCTCCTGATATCGCTGACGCTGGTGCTGAGACCGCCATTGGTGTTGGTATTGTTGCTGGTGCTGCTGAACCTGGTCAAACTGGTAAATCTGTTGCTGCTGGTGATGGTTCTGATGCTGATGAAACTGTGCCATGACGCCCTGCTGTGGCATCGCTGGGGGTAAGTGCTGCTGCATGCGAGGATCAAACAGAGTAGCGATCCGAGTCGGATAAATCGGGAAACCCCTCAGCTGGTGCTGTGATAGAGGGACCCGCGCCCCATGATTTCCATTTTCGCCGTGACCACCGTTTTCCGGGTCCACCATAGGTTCCGGCATCCTATAAGTTCCCCCTATCCTCACCATCTGCCCACTGCCAGCATCTGCACCATGCATAGCATTCTTCGCAGCGTCTTGAACATCCCTAGGCTTCCCATTGCGATTCCGGTGCAAGACTACGCCATCCCAGATAATCGCTCCGAGAAACGTCAACGTCTGCGTAATCAAAACGCGGAACCCCGCCTCCAGCTCTCCGCAATCCCGGAACGCGGCCTCGTCCATGTTCGGTTGCGAGAGGAGGAAGGCACAGGAGTTACCGATTGCGCGGGAGTAGCTGTCTGCCGTTATGGCGATCGAGACGATGTAGAATACAGCTAGAACCAGGTCCACCATGGTCACGATCAATGGGAGGAGTCTACTCGCGAAGAAGAGACCTAGAACCACGGCTACCCAGACTAACGTGAAGGCGCTGAGCACAATATCGAAAGGTATTAACCTGTTTTTGCAGTTAAATATTTCCTACTTTGAGCCAGTCTGAGGATAGAGGGGGGGATACCAGTCGTCGTAATTAGGTGCGAAATAGGCGCATATTCCTAGTATAGTCGCCCCCAGCACGAGCTGCGATATGCGAAGGAGCAGAAGGGCTGTGGTGTTCCAGCGATTATCCCTCATTTCTAGAGAAGGGGATCTTTCTCTTTATGATACCAAAGGTCTCGGTAATAGGAGTTTTGTCTGATGAAGGAGTATAGGAATAGAGAGTAAAAGAAAGAGACGAGGAGGAAGGAAGGGAAATAGAGGAAGTTGGGGTACATGCAGTCGGGGTAAGAAAAAAAGAAGCAAACAGGGCTACGAAAAACATGGAATCGGGTTACGTTCGGGGGGGAGGCCCGCGGAGAAGGGGAGGGGGAGAAGGAGGATCGGCACTCTATCATACTTAGAACAACGTGCAGCATATACCGAAGATGATAGAAGAACGAGGATGGCTGCGAGAGTGGACCACTGCTGGTCAGCCCTGGGCGTTGGCCCTGCCCATATCACAATGCGAAATCAACGGAAAAACTCTGTACTGATGCGAAGGTACTATTAAACGCACACCCATCAACACCATGTAATTGGCTTTTCCTTTGGCACTCGGCGGAAGAAGAAAGTGGTCGGGATTCAGTTGGCAAACGACGGGATTGGTAGGAGTCTGTTTTGCACCATCTCAATCGATTACGGCGCCATTCTCGTACTGACTGAGTTGCACAATCCAGTGCAGCCTCATCCCGATACGTGCCCGGAACCCGACCGACATTTCAGCGATTCACCAGTATGCCTAGCAAGTGCATTGCCGAGTGATGTTCCATGTTACATCTATTTTTGTTTGCCCCCGATCGGAGCCCATCACTTTTCCCGCATTGGTCGTCAGGGACACTTCGGCACTGGAGCCGCCAAGGCTTGGCGGGGGCGCCAGCACTCGTAATAGGGTGACGTTTGCGAGCACATCTATTATTGCATGCCGTCGAGATTGGAGCAGAAAGGCTGAATGTAATAAAAGAAAGGCGACTGACGACATGCATTAATGGGCATGTTCTCAAACGTCGATTCAGGGCCAGTACGAGTACTCGAGTACGAGTAAAGCTTAATTGCGGGGTGTGGGCGTGAGCACAAGGGCTGTGCATTTTCTGGGCAAGATTTTCGCTAGGCAGCCGAGTTGTTATACCGAGTACAGCAGAAACTCGAATCAAAAGATATTTGTGTTATCATATTTATGACAAGGGCGTCGTGGTCTGCTCTCCTGGTAAAGCGCTGGACATATTCCTTTTGTTTTTTTGTCAGTACAATTTTCTTCTATCATATGGGTATTGGAGTATTGGCGCCCCTGTGCATGGAGGGAAGCCAGAAGTCCGAAGTCGGAGGCTTGGCAGTTATGCCCCTTGAAGTAAAATAAAATCGTTTATCGGAATGTGAGGAGAGAAAAGTATAGACGGAGGAATAAAGGATAAGAACCAGCAGGAGAGTTTCTTAGGTGCACGATTGAAAGGTCAGAATTCGCATATCATTTCTAAGTAGATAACAAGGCCCTTTTAACCCAAGATGATCTACATCTTGTCCGGTGCCTGTGTGGATGAAAATTTTCATCTCCGGTAAGGGGACTAAAGTCTTGTCCCTCTGAAACAACAAGGAAACAGAAAAGAAACAAGAGAGAAATTTTCACTGCAAGGAGATAGAGAGGAAACAGTATGGAGACAACAGGGTGATAACAGTTTCAGACATCAAGTAAGGTATAACAGAAAGTTCGTGAAGATTATATAGGAAACCAATAGTAGGTATGAAATCGAAACTCAGGGACAATATTCCAACACCCCTAACAACAACACCAGAGACAAGTATTAAGGAATGCGCAATGATGAAGTAGTTTCCTTCCCTCCCAGGCCGACCCCTCTGCCGTCAACGCTACGGGATGCACAGGTGGTACTTTCTAGATGTATTGGTACTGCGGGGTAGGTGGAATGGAGTTGGCTCATCCCCTTGGACGTAATGTCGCAAGTGTCGTGCCCGTTCGGTGAGGCTCTTTGAGTCAGCCTTGAGCAAGCCCGATTGAACTTTCATCTCAAATATGATATTAGCCATGAGTTCCGACTCCAGCTTCCAACTTTCTCTTCTGGGTAGAGCGCTGTCACACTATTCGAGTACTTATCGTGCTCCGATGGTTGAGACTGGGAGTGGGCTGGGAGAGAGGGAACCGAGCTAGGGATCGTCTTTCCAATCGATCAACAAACTTACTAGTGCTGGTCTCACCTCGTGAGCTCAGCAACTCCCTGATATGCTTGCTGGGCTGACCAGTGAGAAGATGGCTGATGTAACCGATCAGCCCACCATAATCACGGTGTTTCCGGAGAACGGATGAGAGCCTCCGCTCCAATACCGTGAAAACTCCTCCGATTCGATATCAGATTATGGTGCTAGAAACCGTGGAGGGGAAGTGTGTGACCCCGCCCCACTCCAATTTTTTTGATTCGCAGAATTCAGTCGACTCAGCTATTTTGATGGTGTCTAGAACCACGATGAATTCAATGATTTCACGCAAACTACTATGCGGTTAGGGGAGTTGCTTGTACTGTACTCGAGCACTCGTTCACACCTCCCCCTTGTCGCCCCGGGCACCATGCCGGTACCGACTGAAACCGCCGCGCTAGCCCCCGATAGGCTTGGTTTGGCAATTAACAGAATTGTGAAACACAAGTTAATAGAATCCAACATGTCCAAAGGACTCGCAGGATAAATCGTGTCAGGGAAGCATTATTCCTTCTTAGAGCTCTGGCTTGAATCCGGAGATTAGAGGCTACCGGAGATAGTGAATCATGAGAGCTCTTACGGTACTTGTACTATACTATACGGTACTAGGGGGTGGATAATAACCTGTAGCGTCCGTTCCGGTCTCCGCGAGCTCTGGAAGAATAGAAGGCCCGGGGCGGTGGGCCATCGGAGCAACCCTGGCTAGTGAACAACGCTCGTAAAAGTAGGACCACCTCTTGGAGAAGGGATCCTCTCACCTAATGAGCATCGGCTGCTATGCATACCAGTACTGCGCTAGTACATTACAACCGGTGCAATATCCCACAATTGATAGGAAGTTGCCAAGTTGGCGGGCGATCAACGGTCAGTTCCGCGTATGGTACTGTTCGACTGAGGGTAAAATACATAAACGGGTGATAATCTGGAGGAGGGATTGGACTTACGGAAAAATGGCTCGGGGCTGCGGGGTAACTTGATTGTATCGAGCGTGTACGGTACTGCACTCGAGTAGACGGAGAAGTTTTCTCTAGCGATCGTTTGTTGCCGGTATATCATGAAGAACCGAGGTCCAAAGTTTATATAGGTAAAGGTGGAGTTTCCAAGCCGGATCTGCGAACAAGGGTGGTCATAAATTTATTGAACCCCCACCAAGACATCAGCATCCCAACTCCACCTTACAACAAGCGAAAAATAACTGGAGGGAAAAAGCAAAAAATCCCTCCGTATCCAAGCACCCATAAAATACTTCTTACCTGCTACGAGTACGAGCACGAGCACAGTCGCACCCCGTTATCCCAGGCGACCAGAGTCTTAGAATCTGTTCCGATACGGAGCGTGCGGGGCGATGGGGGATGAGCTTTCCTGATTCTCGGGGCGCAAAATAAACCGGCCCTACCTGTATTAACGGCTTTTCATTTTAGGTGGTCCGGTTGAAGCTCCTATGATTTTTTCCCTTCAATCTCCACTTCATGAAATCCTGCACCCCCGGTGATACAGTACTTGTACCATGATTCTACTGCAACTTACAGTACTTGTATCCTCACACATACTTTCTTCCTCTTTTCCTTTTCAGGAATAGTCCTTTTTAAGTTTACTACAGGAATGCGGTTCAGCAGAATAGGATTGTACGAGTGTAGGGGGACCGGTAGGGTACATTCGAATTCCAAACGGATCCGAATGCCCTTGATTCCTGGCCCAGCGAGCCCCCCCATACAGATGAGACTTTGGGACTGCCATTCAATACAGGTACGGTACTCGTACTGTAGGTCTTGTTTATCCTGGCACCACCGACCCAGGACCGTGTGGCTGGCCTGACATTCTACTGTAAGGTTCGGCGAGGTATCCGGTCGAGGGAGATCCGATGCTTCTAGCTGTGTTTCAAGCGCTACTCGTAACCATTATTAATAGCGCTCACCCAGAAAAAACAATCGAGCGCCGGGTACGACTTGCGAGCAGAAAATAGAGTAGTTGACACACTGGTGCGGAAGGACAGAACATCCCAACCAATGAATGCCTCGTTCCGTAGGGGAGACGAGAAATCCCACCGGCATTGCCGATACAGTAGTCCATGAGGCTCCATTTACCGCATGGTAGCGGTGCTCGAGTGAGGAGCCCCAATCCCCGAAACGATCTTGCTTGGCACTAGAGTCTGTGAGACCATAAGTGACAGGAACCTGAGGTTTGGCAACTTTACCTCAACCACATCGCAACCTCGAAATAGAGAGACCCTTGCGCTACTCCTACAGCGCAATCAATATCTACAGCCAGTGTGTGGAAATCTTGGCGACATGGGATCTCTCTTGCCCATAGAGTAGCCCCTTCCCTACTGTACACTGACCCTATTGTACTAGCGCAATACTCGTAGCAGGCAAGAGGTACTGTACTGTACTGTACTCGTACAGTGCAAGTACCTGATGATTACAGGGATTCGCGAAATATACGGCAAAAAATCCGTTCGCATCCGAGTGCCCATACAAACTCGTCATCCCCGTTACCGGCCACTTCTCGCCCGACACTGTACAGTACTCGAGTACGAGGGCCTACTAATCCCCATCAAGGAGGGACTCCGTTTCATGAGGACCTTTAAGGAGCGACCGCACCGTAAAAACTCGGACATCCTGCTATCCCCGTCAGGCATCTGATCTCCGCAATCGGAGAGTGTTTGCCCGACGCGGTATGGCTTGAGCGAGCTGGACTTCTTGGATCCCATTTAACTGGAGTTCGTAATTTCGTTAACTTGCCCAGTCGAGCCAAACCTATATAGCAGTTCAACTCGGTTGCTTATAGTGCCTTATAGCGGGTTGTTGATTAATTGTTTTGTCTCCGACATTGCACTACAAGTAAGGCAATCGGACCTCGCTATCCTGGGGTTCAGCAGTAGGGATATCTCGCTGTCCCGTATGAAATGCTGTGAGCTCAGAAGCAATTTACCGCAAAACTTGACCCGTTGTCCCCGATCACTCGTCGTACCGTGGAGATTCTACGGATTTTGGCCAACCGGGATGGCGCGGGGCAACTGTAAAGGCTCCACTTCTAGAAGACCCATGGAAGAGGTTATGGTGATACCTGTAACCCAGCCGATAAAACTGATGTAGCCCATGCCATTTTTGTCTTTTTTATAATTGGCGTCAAAGCCCTTTTTGTTATAACTACTCGAGTACCGGTATATACAATACAAATGCAAATGTTAGTGGGGGGTCATTTGTGGATATGCAAAGCCCAGGGCTTCTTCTGTGTACAACTGGGCTTCCACACTCTTAATACTGGTAGAGTACGAGTACAGTACTGTACCGTACTGTACTCTTAATTAGTAGTGTTCGAGGCACTGGTTTGTTACCAGGGCCAAGCGCTTGAGTTACAGCTTTTACCGCCATCACTATTGTTTAAAACCATAATGCTTTCTAATCTTTTTTTTTTTTTTTGTTTAAATCCCAGAGACGGTCATCCCACACCCGGGTTAATTAGTGATTGCGGTGGGGAAGTTTGCGAAAAATGGAAATGTGGTTCTCTTAAACGGCACCTGTCCCACATGAATAATGAAAACTCGGGTTCACCCATACAGTATGAGTACAACTGTTCCCGCACCATTTTCTGTTCTAGACAGAACCACTGTATTGAACTGTAGGGAAAAAAGGGTCTCGGGGATGTGGTTCAATCTAATCCTGCTCCAATACAGTCCTGCAAGGATTTTTTTTCTTTTTTTCGGTCATCTCTACCACACTGTCATTGCTTCTCCGTACATACATACGAGTACTGTACCGCAGCTAGAATACCCTGCAGGGTCCCGCCCCTTCTCTTCCTTCCACACTTGTGCATCTTGGGGAGTCTTTCACCCTCTCTCCCTTTCAAAAAGGATAAATAAAATAAAAACCACCCTGTAAACCTCTTGTACTTGTTTGTAATAATCGCCCCCCCCCCGCGCGCGCGCCCATCATCACCAAAATCCACCAAAATGGCAAATCATGGAGATTCAATGGAAGAAGTGTTCCCGCGAAACTCATACTTTGACATAGGCACGAACCGCCGCGGTAGCAACGCTGATTTCAGATTGTCGGCCTTCGCCGGTAGGATCGGTGGAAACCAGAGGTTCACCATCTCCCGATTCGATCCCGAATTCCAACAAATCAAGAAGGATAGACCTGATGCGACGACGGAGGGGACGTGGGCGGAGTTGTGCGATCTGAGGGGGTTAGGCAAGATAGAGATTTGGAAGTCTGGTTTCATCGAGTTCTGGGGTGAGTTTCGCTGAGACTCTGCCTCATGGGAATTACATTTGCTGATACACCATTTTGTAGCATCATTACTCATGACCTTCACGACGGGTGCCGCTGCAATTTCTTTAGCTAAATATGGGTATTCATCTCTATGACGATGTAATGCTAGGCTACCTGCTAATAATTTTCTTCATCTTCTTAGGAGTGCCTACTCCCCAGTTACTCTTGCAGCAGCGGGAGGGATGTCAATATTGCTTACGCTTCCGCTATTCATTCATGCTGCCGGCCCTGCTTCGGGAGGTCACATAAACTCAATGATTACCATCGCCACGTTCACAGCCAAGCTCGCTGCCCTGCCTAGGACGATCGTCTACGTTTTCTTGCAGAGCCTCGGTGGAGTTGCGGGTGGTTTTCTGCTGCGGGCCGGACTCGGCGAAGCCAATACCGTTGGGGTGAGCTAATCTTTACCAACCTCGAGTTATCCTTCTCCTGACCTCCGTGTTTTTAGGCGGTGGTTCCAGGGTGCTACTGGGCGCCAAACGCGGGGATAACCGATTTGCAGGCCTTCTTGATTGAATTCTCATCCTGCTGCATTGTGCTGTTTATTGCTTTCGGGGTTGGTCTCGACCCCCGTCAAAGGGATATTTTTGGCCCCGCACTGGGGCCCATACTCATTGGCTTGGCCATTGGTATAATATCGTTCATAACGGGTATCATGAGGACAGGGTATGCTGGTGCTTGTGAGTAGATACAGGTTCCCCTAGTGGTCGAGGTTGAAGCTTACAGATACCCCCTCGCAGCGATGAACCCCACTAGGTGCCTTGGCCTCGTCGCCGCCACTCAGACCTTTAGGGGCCATTGGGTCACCTGGGCAGGGGGCATTGCAGCGGCTTGTGTCAATGGGCTATTCTATATCGTAGTTCCACCTTACCATGCTGAACTTCCCGAAGATGAAGAGCGAGGGGACAAGCGAGAATAGTGCTTGCCCTATTGTGAGAAGTGGCACGAACCATAAGCCACTATAAGATTTGAAGGCTTAAATTCTGTGTAGACCTTTTAATCGATTTCCCAATTCCGTGTGGGAAGATACCATTTTGTCATATTTATTATCTCCTAGTCGTGTCAGAGCCTTTTTTTTTTTTTTTTTTTTTTGGTCATATGATATAGTTTCTTGAATTATCGCACTTTGTCATTTCTCTCCCCAATTGATAAATGGAATTGAACGCCCTTCGAGATAATCTAACCACTTCAATCACGTGAACAGATAACTCCTAGAATACTGACTTATTGCGCGATGTGACAAGAATATCGCCCCAGGAGCAAAAACGAGGGTGAGCTCGCTCGTAACAACCACAGGAAGGCAAGTAGAGAGAGACATTGGGGTCCGAAAGAATAGAAGCAAGATGGTATAGACATGACGCAAGTTCTCAAGACACGCAAAGAATGAACTAAGCTTATCTTCGCCGGGGACCCCGACAGGAATATGAGCAATCTTCCGCACCCCGCACAATAGAGTTCTAGACTATCCGTGCGCGACATAATACAAACTCTACGGAACAATTAACGAGCACCCAGCGTTTATACTTGTATAGCATGCCGCAATTTTGACATTGCCGAGCAAATATTTTCATAGCTTGAGGTTCGTGAAGGTTGATCCACTTCCAGGATGGAACATGGATCCATGGGATAAAGTCGTAAGGTTAAGTTACTCCGCGTCTTTACCGTGCGTATTATAGTTTGTGTTGTTATTGGCATGCTCCGTTCCTATAATACAAGTATGTACGAGTACAGTACAGTACAGGTACAGTAACCGTACGGGTTCAATATACTGGTAATTTGTTA